AAATTTGCAAATACCAAAGAAAAGAATCATTTTCACACATAAATTGCTCATAAAAAAAGAGAATGACCGCTTTCGATAATTCCTGAACCAAAAACACCTAAAAGAAAAACATTGAAGTATGACCATTAAAGGAAGTAAGATGTAAAGTACTCAAATGTAAAGTTCATTCAATACATAAATTTTGTATAACGTGTCATTGAATAAATATTATCATTGTTCTCAGTATTTATCTTTTCTTTAACCCACACTCTTTTTACTCTGTTATCTCAGTACCTTCAAGTGTGGACATGCTATTTTTAAAAAAATGGAAAAACATTTCAACTTTGAGCAAACTCCATAAATCTTGAATAAAGTCAAATAACCAATATTTAAAATTTCAAATATTTAGGCCGAGTTTATAAAAATTATTAGCGAAAAGGTTAACATCACAGTACAATATTTCAATACTAAATTTCTGAATATGGCCATCTTCTTTTCCACAAATTTCAATGCTGCACTAACTTTGGATTGGTTCTAACTAAAAATTAAAAAACAAGTCAGTAAGGTCAAATATTGTTAAAAAAACTACTTTTTAAAAAGAGACTTAATTCTTTCATTTGTGAAAAAATTGAAAAATCCAAGGGATTAAAATCGAACTTCTTTGTGGTCAAGCAAACTCACTTCCACAGTCAATCCATCAACATGAAAACTGTTCAATTTAACTATTGACAAAGCTATTCACAATTATACCCAAATGGAAGGCAACCCAACTGCAAACTATTTGAAATCTTTACAACCGCCTAGGTAAGATGGGGTCTTTAGGTCCTAAAAGTCAACACAGAACTACAAAATTATTACTGTCAATGAAGAAGATGAAATTTTAATTCTTGTTGTAGAGAATCCAGATATCACATCACTACTCACATGATAATCTGGCAACAGGGATAAGCCAATTATCTGTTTTTAGAATATTGAAGAGGGAAAAACTGCATCCATATCATATCATTACACTCCTGTTCAGAATTTACTATTTACAGATTTTCTGGATACAGTTATTTTTACTGATTTTACTGAAATTTTTACCAGACAAAGAATATTTAAATGGAGAAATAATCATTTGTGAGATTCTGAAAATGGTCATACTAAGAAACAAATCCATTTTCAGCATGACTTTAAGGATAACATTTGGTGTGGTGTAATCTGTGACTACATAATACAACTTCATTAATACTTAAATCAACAGTTTTATCATAGATGTATTGGTCATGGAAGTGATATCATGAAATCCTGATATTTTGAGGTCTAGAATCTGCAACTCTGCAAAGATAAGAAAATGACAAGTAGAGTCATTTACAATAAATAAAAGGTACAAGACCAGTGAAGAAAATATGGCAAGCAAAAATAAAAAAGAAACGACAAGGAGAAAGCCAGGACAAACAGGAATAAACATTTGGCAATTTCATCAAATACCTTACAAAATAAACTGTTGCATGACAAAGGATATTAATACATTAAAAGGAAAAATGCTCATTTTTACTACTATTTGTAAGAAATAATGTATTTAATTTACCTTATCTTTATCATCTGCTGGATCAACTAATCAAACAAAATCAACTAATCTTCAAGATGAACATCTTTTCAAATTAGCCATTCCCTTGTGGCTTCTCTGCAGTTTAGTCTTTGGCTTCAATTATGGCTGTTATGTCTATATCAATTACCAGTTCTCTCGGAATATCTTGATTCCTCGCTCTATCAAGTCTAGTGAGACAGCAAGATCCACTCCAATAGTTCATTTCTATGGCTCTAATTTGATTTCTTTATCACTTGCAGTAACGGTTCTGTTTTTTTTTATTATGCCAATTATTCTGTTTGCCCCCAATTACCTAAAACAGCATTAATACAATAATCAATATTGTTTTCACAGTTGAATTTTAATTTTTTGTTCAAAAGAAAAAACACCCTACAAATAATGTTAAATAATGAATCAGGTATTCAGGTGAAGCTTTATCATTTGATATAAGATTAGCATTATTATTTGATATAAGAATACCTACTGTAATAAGGTTTAATACTGACTGTTATACATCATTATTATTACTTCTGACTTTCAGTAATACCAGTAATACAGTGACAGTGTCATCATAACCTAATCTGAAGTGCTTCACCTCTATATCTGCTATGCCATGAGACTACATCTTTTGATATTTCCATCGAATTCTTGTAAAGTGTAAGGTCCCCAGGCTACTTCTTCATCAATACTATAAAATGCTTCCACAATCTAATCACATTTATTTTTGCTTTTATTTGAAAATAACCACAGCATTTGGTTTGAAAGTCAGTATGTCAGTAGTCAGTCAAAAAATGACCATCTGTTTTCCATTACATTAACAAACCAAAGTCCCAAAAACAACAAAATAAAACACAGACATCCTGACACTTGTTTATATAATTTTCTTTGGTAGTAGAGTATTGGCAACAAATCTCCTCCTCCTCGTTTCTTGGGCCCTTGTTAGGGTCTGGGTGGAGACACTCTAAATATTGTTAGTTTGCTGTCTTCATTGGCTGCAATTCTGTACCAGGTGGACAACTTCGTGAAGTGATTTTTTCACCAATCTTCATTTAATCTTCCCACTGTGTTAGAGATCTTTCTTTTGATATACAAATATAGATTCCTCTACATTCATTAGTAATGGTTTGTTGTAAGTTGCATACCTTCTAAAATACTCTGCCTTAAAGTACCATATTGTAGATAATAAAGTGTAAACTCTAGCATGTCTGCGATCTTGCTCTTCAGAATCATCATAAATTAGCATGTAACTCAATGTAACTATTGCTTAGAAGTAGAACATCGGTGAAAATCTAAAATAATAAAATATTATTAAAATTAAGAATGTATGACTTTTTTTGTAAAAAAAGCCAATTTTAGGAATGCAATTAAAAGAGTCAAGAGTTTTTTTTATAAAAGAAGGCAACTTTTAGGAATGCAATTATAAGAGTTAATAGTTTTAATGATTTTAAAATATATACAGTATATACATATAAGATTAATGTTATTTAAGATTTAAAGGTAATTTAACTATAAAATCAAAATGTACAAAATAAACTCATAATCCTTCAAATAGAATGTTTGTCAAACTTTAACTTTCACCCATCAACAAAAAAATATTCTTTGATTGGAAATACTATACCATTTTGTAATTGATGTATATTGTTTTTATCGTCTATTCTGTTTTGTTCCATTTCAACGATGGTAAAACACAATGTTTACAAGTTAAGATGATACCACAGAATACTCCAACCCAACGGGATGTGATACTGTGATGATCATAGAAAAATAATATAGTATATTATGTGATGATGATGATAGTAACAAAATAAAAAACTCAATTTGCAATACGGCGTCCCAATCCCAATTCCCAATATCTAAATTATTCTAAATCAAATTTCGCCACCGCACATGCGTCTCCCGCTATATTATACACCTAACATGACTAGTAGCGCCGCCGCCATTACGAACGGATGGGCCCATGCAAATCATTCTCCTCACCCGTCCTATTCTACTTACCCTACTATGTAGGTATGTATTGTGCATTGTGCGATATACGTGATTGGTACTCATACAAAACTTTTATGACAATGACAGTCGACAGCAGAACAATTATCAAAAATATTTGGGTTTGGTCGTTTGGTTGGCAGTGTTGAGATGTTTTTGGAATGCATCTGTTATATGCTTCAAATATAAAGAGAGAAAGTTTTTAACAAGTACATATCGATTATACTATTTTATGAATTCTGCAATTTTTAATTTATATGAAACAATAACAAGTAAATATTTGTATCTCTCGAGATGAATTGCAACCATCTCTTTTTGTTGCAATCTGGCAACTGCTGCTTTGACGATTGCCAAATCTATTCCCCAATCTATCAAATTAACTGCAATTAATCTCCAAAGAAACAAATATTTACTCATTCTTGTTTTATATTAATCAAAAATTGCAGAATTCATAACGTAATATAAAAATGTACTTTTCTAAAGCTACTACATTATAAAAACATGCCAACACTGCTAAACCGAAATTTTTTGTTCCATGTTTGACATTTGCGACTATATCAGCTTGTACTTTCGGTAAACTCAACCAACGTATTTTCGATAATAAATACTTATTTGTCTGTATCAAAATTAAATCAATATTTGTGAAATCTTCCAATTAGGCACTAATTTGTCGAGTCGTTTATATGGCTAATAATATATTTCAGATTTCAGTAGATAAGTTGACAGACGTCAAAACTAGAAACATTAAAATTCATGAAGTATTTGGTTAAATAAAATTAATAAGCCACTGAATGTTTAAAACGAAAGCAATCAAGTGTGTAAATGTCTTAATCGTTAATGGACAAAAATTTTATACTTTTGGTTGAATCATAACATGACATGGTTCACAGATTTTATCATTTTTCGGTTGGAAGTTGGAATTCATTGCTTCTCATGCGCATGTGGATTACTGTCCGATAAAGAGTTTTGTTAAGTGGTTGGTATTTATGAATCTGTCATTATATTCAACAAGGGTCATACAACTCATCAAAAGTAGGTGTATGGTTAAAATAAACATGCAACATCGAAAATAAGTTTTATTTTGGATATTTTATATTTGAAAACTGTTTTATTTAATTCTTAAATATATATTTTTATGTGTAAAGTGTAATATTATAATCTCAAAGCAGGTGATTTAAATGTTCCCGCAAATAACTTCTATGGTACGCCACCTTTCGCCTGTAGATTTCTATTAACATCAGTGGTGTCCCTTAATGCATTTTTTGATGTTGATGCTGGTCCCATCAGAACTAACTAAGGTAAGTTTTTAGTGCGCTTTTTGTTATTGAAATAAATTTTATACACAATGGAATATTTAAAAATAATACAACCGAAATAGAAACGAATGTTTTATAAAGTTAGCACGTGGTTATTATATATAGCACGCCCATGATGGCTGCAATGTAGTTTTAGAGGGGTATACAGTATACTGAAATAAGCTTTGAATCCAGTCTATCGTGGCGGGATGGGACTTCCTTCCATCTTGGTTCAGATTCTTTAGTAAGAAGCCGGCTAAATTAGTGGGTTAAAATAGAACAGATAAATTTAAAAATAAATCGTTTGTTTCACAAAGTTACGATGTGTTAGCTGGATAGATCACCGTAAATATTTAATCCCGGAATGAATTAGGTATGATGTTTTAAGAGTAGGCTTTATCCATTGTTGCTAGTCTAGTATGAGGGAATGGCGAATATCACCTATACGAATGTTAATATGAAAATCTGCATTTTCATTGAAAAATTTGAAGATTATTATATGTAGTTATGCTGATAAATTTTTCTAGATTAGCCAAATTGTTGTTTGAACAAGGTAACTTGACCCAATACTAGATGACAAGAGTATTAAATGTTAGTAATTCAAATATATAATATTTTATTACACAGGACTCACAGTGGGGTGTACATTCTAAAACTAAGGCAGTGTAACTACTCATAATCTTAATTAATTTAGTATTAACATATTTGAGAAAAAATGGGGCCTAAGGTCACATCTGTGGCATTTATAGACAGACAAATTTTTAATTCACCTCACCTACTGGTGAAAATAAATATTTTATCAAAAATATAAATAGGGCTTTATTTTTATATTGGAATTTTACTTCATTTTAGTTAGATGTGTATGTTTATTGGAAAATGTTATCTTTTGGTATTCATTTGCTGTTAATGTTATTGCACAGGCACACAGTAGGAGCAATTATGAATTACTTTTTCTTTGTGTTACACTTGTTAATATTTGTTAGGTCTAATAACTAAACTTTCAGAATTTTACATTTATGGAAGACAAACACAAATTCAGTAAGAGGCATTTCTAAAACTAAGCACCACATCCAATATATACCAGGAGTATTTATGCAAAGTTAAAATCACCAAGGAATAATGATTTTACAAATTAAAAGTCAGACTTAAGTGCATTTATTTATTTTCAATGGGCTGCTGCCCAATAATATTAATTCAATTACTAATAGATTTAATAATAGAATAGTTTTACTTGAAATACTATAATATATTCATGTTTATTCACTTTTAACAATGAGTTGGTAAAAAAGTACTATATTTAAGAAGCTTGAAGACTTTTGTATGCTTGGAATGGTGAATGTTTATAAAAGTAAGGGCAACATTGAGTTTAGTGTTTAATGTTCATGTTACATTTCAATCAAAATTTGCAGTGAAAAGTCACACCTGACTGTGAGTTCCAAAAATAAAAAGATATGTCATATTTTTTTTTCTTTCAGTTTGTAAAGAAGGAAATAGAGCTTATGCACCACAGTTTGTAAATAATAAAGTGCTTTGTAAGACGATGGCCGTACCTAGTAGAGCTAGAGTATATTCTGATGTAAATTCACATAAGCCAAGAGAATACTGGGATTATGAAAGTTATGTTGTCGACTGGGGTCAACAAGATGACTATCAATTGGTGAGGAAGCTAGGAAGAGGAAAATATAGTGAAGTGTTTGAAGCTATCAATGTAACAAATAATGAAAAATGTGTAGTTAAAATTTTAAAGGTGAGTTCCATATTTTTTGTCTGGTTTATAATTTCAATATGAAAAATATTCCAAAGTCTATTAAGCCCGGTACACACATGCCAGTAAATTGGGAAAGTAGCTGGCATGCTAGTTGATGGCATAGGCCAGTAACTGGCAAGCACAAAACACATTTGGTAGTAATTGGCATGTTAGTAATGCCAATGCTAGTAAACAATCAAGTGGTTTTCAACTGAAACTAAAGTATGTGTTTTGTAATCAAAAGTTTTTGGGTTTCCAACAAAAAAAAAAATAGTGAGAAATTGGATTGGTATAATAGAGAATGTGAGCTGATCAAAAATATAAAAAGCAGAAAATTGCTTATCTTGGTCATGTAATGAGACATAATAGATATGACTTCCTCAACTTGTAATAGAGTGTAATATTGAAGGTAGACAAGGATCAGGATGTATACAGTGCTCCGAACTTAACATTATACAAGATTGGACAGTCTTAGTCTCATATAATTAGCTGAGGAAGTCAGCATACAGCACATTTGCTCATGCAATTTGTAAGAGGCATTATGAGGTCATTTTTCAACAAAATATACATGTTCAGCAATCTCAAAAGCCCCTGATGACTGTCAATTGATTCAGAATGGAATTAACATGAAACTTTAGATGTTACCCTGGTTACAAGATACTTTGGAGACTATCTCTGTAGTAATATTCATGTTCAACAACCCCAAAAACCCCTGAATAATGACTTTTGGCTGATTTCAAATGAAAATAATAAAACTCCCAGGAGATGAGGTCCACTAGGTAGCACGAGGACCTTCGTTGTTATCACAGTGGCCACAAATACTCTGAGTAATGACTTTTAACTGGTTTGGAATGAAAATAACAGGAAACTTTATGAGATGACATCCACCCTCCACTAGGTAGCTCAAGGACAATTGTCCTTATCATATTTGTGTTGACATGAGGTCCATCCTGACCACCAGGTAGCGTGAGTACCAATGTTGTTATCGAATTTGTATTCAGCTACCTCGAAAAGCCCTAAGTAAAAAAATTGAACTCATTCCTGTCAATATTTTCAGAGTTGCAAATTTTTTTATTTTCTATGTATTTTTGAAGTACATTGTCCTTATGCACAAAATAAAATTTTCATTCTACATGTTCACAAACTATCCTGACAACTTGCCTGAATTGAATGCAAAAGTTGCACAGTGATTCATCTTGCTGTGGAAAATTAGTAGATTTAGTGCTTTTTATTGCTTCATTTCCTCTCCTACATACACCTACTTGAATTTCGATTTTCCTCAACTGTGACAGTATATTGAGTCTATTTTCTGGGATCCATTAAATTTCTGAAATTTCTTATACCATTTCTACTGCAATCTATTTTTATATCATTTCTCTGATATCCAAATCACATTTGTAAGTGCTTGTATATAGTCACATAATAAATAACTTTAAAAACAAGCATAGCTGTGGTTATGATGAAATATCAACCAACTTAATTAAATATGTTTTATCAGAGATTTCTCTTCCTCTTTCTTTTATAGTTAATGCTTCTTTCAGGCAAAGTAAATTTCCTCAAAGTTTAAAACTGGCAATTGTCAAGCCACTACATAAAAAAGGTGATGTTACTAAGATGGAGAACTATAGACCAATAAGCCTTCCATCATTCTCAAAAATATTCAAAAAAGCAATATATTTCAGGCTACAAAACTTTTTCACTACAAACAACTTATTTAGTAGTTCACAGCATGGTTTTCTTGCAGGGAGATCTGTTGAGACAGCTACCTATGATTTTATGTCAAAAAATTTAGAAAAACTGAAGGCAAAGATGAAAACACTGGGTGCTTTTTTGGACCTATCTAAGGCTTTCGATAGCCTACATAATGTTCTTTTATTACAACAATTACATCTTTATAGAATACAGGGACCAGTATTAAAATGGATAAAATCATTTCTCACAGATAGGTCGCAAAAGGTATGCCTGGAGAAAAGGGGATGTAAGGTTTACTGTGACAGTCAATTTAAAATTAGGTATACCACAGGGGAGTCTCCTGGGGCCTTTTCTCTCTTTGATCTACATAAACGACCTTCCAAATGCAGTGGTTAGTAGTTCCTCAAACCTTGTAAATTTCGCTGATGACTCAAATGTGCTTTTCTGGGAAAAAACTTTAGAAACACTCCTCACAGTGGCAGAGCAAATTCTAAGCAAGGCTGAGCAGTGGTTCAGTGGAAATTGGTTGTTGCTTAATATTGATAAGACAGTTTTTGTCTACTTTAGAACCAGCCAGTCACAAGAACAGTTTCCAGATACAATTAATTTTCTATCACAAAGCATGGAACCTGCTAGATCAGTTAAATTTCTTGGTATTCATATTGACCAGAATCTGAATTGGGGGGAACAAATACAAAATACAACAAAAAAACTGAATAGATCCTGCTACTCATTAAGAGTGTTAAAGAGCTAGACCAGGGGATTTTACTATCAGTATATTATGCAAACTTTTATTCTGTTATGTGATATGGAGTAATCTTCTGGGGTGCTGCAGTAGATAGCTCAACTGTTTTTATAGTCCAAAAAAGGCAGTCCAGGTCTTAGGACTAAAGGCAGGAGAATCCTATAGAGGCTGATTCAAATCACTCAATATACTCACTTTCTCATCCATCTATACATTTGAATGTATTATGTTCCTTTTTAAAAACTTTTCTTTGTTTTATCACCTGCTTCCCAATCATGAATATAATACAAGATTAATTGCCATGATTAATTGTCATGAATTACAAATTCAAATAGCTAATTTGAATTTGCCACTTCACAGATTGTCTATAACAGAGAGAAGTCCTTTGTATGCATGTGGTCCTTTGACATTCAACAGGAAACACACTATAGAGCTTTTAAAAGAAAGGTTTTTCAACACCTAGTTGACATTGAGCCCTATACTGTGGCCTATCGTTCTCCTTGATTAGCATATTTAATTTGTAATGTTGATATATTTTAAATGTGTGATGTCAATATATATTTTTTTAATCTGTAATTAATAATGTGACATTATTTGCTCAATTATGTTTAAAAATGTACTCAAATAAAAATTTACTCTACTCTACTCTACAAAAACTTGAACAGCAGAGACAAGCTCTTAAAAAAAAAGGTTTAAAACATAGTAGAACAAATACACGAGTATTTAGAAATTTCATTTAAAGATGGAGTTACCAATACAAATAAATTGGTAACATTGGATGCTAAAATGATTCTGAAAAGAAATAGTTTTAAGTACCTAGGGGTCAGTATTACAAAGTAATGGAGAAAAAGATGGAGATGCATGCAGTAAAGTTAGGGCAGGCTGGCTGAAATGGAAGGAAGTGGGCAGTGTATTGTGTGATAAAAGATTCCAATGAAACTGGAAGCAAAATTCTGTAAAACTTCAATGAGAACAGCTAGATGTACAGTATAAATCTGATTTAACTGTTTATTTCATCAGCAATTAATTATAATGACTCTTAGTTTGATGGTATTAGTAGACTTTAATAAATGCTCTTGCAGAGTATAAGGTATTCTATTCAAAAATAGTTATTTGTTTTGAATTCCAAATTAAAGAATCTGAAAATTGACCAAGTGATAGGAGCTAAACTTAACCAAAAACTACTAATAAACTAATATTTTTTGTGCTTTGTTGTAAAGAGAATAAGAGCATGAAAGTATAAAAATACTGACATGGAAGAAAATTAGATGTTTTAAGTGAATGCAGTCTTTCAGAAAAACAACGTAAATTTCACTTATTTTGTTCAATTTTCCTATAAAACTTTTTATGTATCTGTGACCAATCAACTAGAATTGTTAAAATTTTAATTACTTTGTTTAAATATATCATCAAACTGCAACTATATAAATGTGGTAATAATGAATCTTACAAAGTAGATATGAAACACAATTATAATCATTTTATGATACCAATGTTATGTTAATTATGTATATGTTTATGCATTGCATGCGTTCAGATTAGTCATCTTACAACTTTATAGATTAGAATTCCACTCTTTAAGGTTCATTGGAATTTCCTTGTGATCAAGCAATTCATATGTTTTATGTTTTGATCATTATGTATTTTACCTTTTATTCTAATTTGCACAGTTCTCTTACAGATTAGGTGTTCATGAATTTATATTGATATACGGGGTGTTTCAAAAAAAGGTAACCCGTCTCTAGGGTAGGTAAAAAACTGAAAAATAATTGGGGTTTGCGTAGTAAAAAATTTTTGTAACGCCATCCGTTTTCAAGATACAGGGCATTGAAGAAGAAAAATTTTATGATTTTGCCAAAACTACTGGCAACATTGTAATGAAATTTTATACGAATATGTTTTGGAAGCTGATACTTCCCATAAATTTGTTTTTATATCTGATTCTCATAGAGGGCGCTAGTTACACGGATCATACTAAGTATTAGTCAATATAACTTTTTTAAGAGTATAATTATTAATCAAAATTTCAAGTAAACTTAAACATCATTCAATTTTACATGAAAAAGGTACTCTTGGTAAAACTCGATACTGTGTACCGTTTTCGGAATATTTTGATTTGAAAATTATGAAGTAATAATTGATGCTGGTATAAAATAGTTAGTAATTAAAGAAAACTCACAAGAAGAAAATTAAATTAATGACTAAGAGTAGAAAATAAAATTCAATTACAGTAAGTGTTCAAAATGCCCTCCGTTTTCGCGAATACACAAGTCTATTCTTTTTTCTAAAGATTCTATTAAACTTCTAAATGGTAGGGGATCAGCTATGATGTCATTAAATTGACGTAGAATTCTTTCTTCCAATTCTTGGCGTGAATTTACCTCTGTAGCATAGACTTTTTCCTTAATATATGACCAAACTTCGTATTCCAAAGGGTTAAAATCGCATGACTGAGGAGGCCAATGAATCGGAGCTCCTGCACCTCTACCAATCCATCGATTCGGAAAATGATTACTCAACCAATTACGACACCTTCTATCAAAGTGTGGTGGAGCTCCATTGTGCATAAAAAATAAAGATCTTCGCTCGTTTAGTGTTAAATCTTCTATCTCAAATAAGGAATTGTTTAAAAAATCAACATACATATCACCATTTAAATTTCCAAGTAGAATATGATAATCTATTAATTTGTTACCTAAATTCTAAATGTTTTTTTACTTGGTAAGTTTCTTCTAGGAAACTTTTCTGCATAACGTGTCACAGCTGCACTAGAACATTTTAAACATTCGCCTAAGGTTAATAACATGTCAGTGTATTCAACATTTGAGTACATTTTGATTTGATTTTACAAATAACAAGGTTTCAAAACTCTAATTATTGTTGATTTATCGTCATAACAATCAATAAATGTCAGATTTCCATGGCACATTTGGAGAAAATAGAGATATACCTATTTAAACTTTATCATTACTACCAGCATCAATTATTACTTCATAATTTTCAAATTAAAATATTCCGAAAACGGTACACAGTATCGAGTTTTACTAAGAGTCCCTTTTTCGTGTAAAATTGAATGATGTTTAAGTTTACTTATGTTTACAATGTTGCCAGTAGGTTCGGCAAAATCGTAAAAATTGCGTAAATTTTTTTTTTATTTTTTAATTTAACCCCAATTATTTTTCAGTTTTTTACCTACCCTAGAGACGGGGTTACGTTTTTTTGAAACACCCTGTATATCAATATAAATTCATGAACACCCAATTAAACCAAAAGTAGCAAAGTGTTATATTAAACTAATTTTTTTTGTTAGGCTGTTTGTTCGGGCTGTTAGTTTTCTGAGATTAGTTCTCGGCGTTTCGTCGACACTAGGGCTTGGCATCTCCTGAAGATGAGAACGCCGAGAACTAATCTCAGAAGACAATGGCCTAACAGCCCGAACAAATCAGCCTAACCAGTTAGATAATGGCCGCGAAAGCCTAACGCATTTTAATTTTTTTTTGTTTTGTTACAGCCTGTTAAAAAGAAGAAAATAAAAAGAGAAATAAAAATTTTAGAAAATCTAAGGGGAGGTACAAATATAATCACTCTAGAAGCTGTCGTCAAGGATCCTGTGTCCAGGACTCCTGCTTTAATATTTGAACATGTCAATAATACTGATTTTAAGCAGCTTTATCAAACTCTGACAGATTTTGACATCCGTTATTACTTGTACGAATTATTGAAAGCATTGGATTATTGTCACAGTATGGGTATTATGCATAGGTAAGAAATTAAAAATATGTAAATATAGGACTGTGGTCATTGTTCGATTTCTTCTTCAAGTGCCACCTCCGCGGCGTAGGTCGGCAATCATCCTAGCTATTCTTGAGACGGCTGCTCTTAAAAGTTCATTTGATGTAAATCCGTACCACTCTCTCAGGTTGCGCAGCCATGATATTCTACGCCTCCCTATGCTTATCTTTTCCTGAATTTTTCACTGCATAATTAGTTGGAGCAAGGTGTATTTCTCTCCACATGTAATATGTCCGAGATATTCCAATTTTCTTGTTTTAATTGTATTTAAAATTTCTACTTCTTTATTCATCCTTCTCAGAACCTCTTTGGTTGTAACATGTTTTGTCCACGATATTTTCAGAATTCTTCTATACACCCACAGCTCGAATGATTCCAGTTTTTTCACTAATGTCGCATTCAAGGTTCAAGATTCCATTTCATAAAATAAAAAGTCGAAAAAACATAACCCTCGCCAACCTAACTCTTAGTTTCAATTTTAAATCCTTGTACATAGCACTCTTCTTATTTTGTTGAAATTTGCTCTAGCCTTTTCTATTCTGATTTTGATCTCCTGAATGTAATCATTTGTGGAGTTAATCATTGTTCCCAGATATGCATATTTGTCCACTTGTTCGACGTTGGTTCCGTTTATTAGAAGATTCTCGTTATTTCTTTGAGTTTTCAAAATTCTCATAAATTTCGTCTTCTTGACATCCATTGTTAGACCATACTCTTTTTCATACTCCGCTATTCTGGTCACCAGTCTCTGAATATCTTCAATATTTTTGGCTAAGATCAAGTGTCGTCCGCATATCTAATGTTGTTAATGGGAACTCCATTTACCTTTATTCCAGCTGTTTCACCCTCAAGAACGTTTTTCAGGATCTCTTTGGAGTAGGCATTAAAAAGAATTGGCGACAATACGCATCCCTGTCTCACTCCACATCTAATTTCAAGTTCTTCTGACAGCTGTCGTTAACACGTTGCTCGCTGTTTATAGTATAAATTTGATATGATCCTGAGGTCTTTGTAATCGATCTTTGATTTCAGGACATTCATTAATTGTTTATGTTGTACTTTTGTCCAGTTTGTGATATATTCGGTTATGGATAGAGACCGACCGAATGTGATTTTTTTGGCAAAAGCCGATGCCGAAGTTCGGCCTGTAGGATACCTTCGGCCGAAGCCGAAGGTGACTAAAAATATACCCATTATATGTTAATAATTTAAATAATGCCCATTATATTTTTATTAACTGATAAGTGATAAACAAAAATATAAAATTGTGAGATAAAAAAGTCAAACATTTATACATTATTTGATAATAGAAGCGATAATAAAAATAAATAACATTAAAGCAAGTGAGTATTTCTGATTACTGGATCTGGTAGCTAATATTCGAAATCAAACATCCTAATATTATACATAAGAAAAACAAGTTTGTCAGCGTTTTCTCCTAACAAATTAGTGCTTCTGTCAGCGTATAGTTGCCAAGCAGAGCTGAATAACTGCTCACTAGGTACACTCGGTGGTGCCGATAGAAATGTTTCTGCTGCAGTTTTTAAAGAAATATAGGGACTTGATTCCCAATAATGAAATCCAATAATGAAATATGTCGGCACTCCTTAAAAGCAAAGCCTCTTGTAAATAGGAATCTAGGTAATCCGCATTGGGATCGTTGTCGTTATGAATTTCTTGTGTTGTATCTAGAACGGCTGTGTGACAAAAGTTTTGCTATTGTAATTGTTTGACAAAATTCTTATGCAAAAGTTTAGATATAATTCTTCGGAAATAAAAATTTTGCGATAAATGTTTCTTGACCAAAGCATACTTAAAAACCGTCACCCAAAACGTGCCGATTATTCATTAAAATTTTAATAAACAAAAACAGACAAATTGGGCATATTTATCAAAAATTAAATTAGTGTATTTTTCAATGTTGTACTAATAAGTTATCATATATACATTTATACCGTTTTTAGGGATGTAAAACCACATAATGTAATGATCGATCATGAAAATAGGAAATTGCGACTAATAGATTGGGGATTAGCAGAATTTTATCATCCCGGACAGGAATATAATGTTAGGGTAGCTTCAAGGTATTTTAAAGGACCTGAACTCCTTGTAGACTATCAGATGTATGATTATTCCCTTGATATGTGGTCTTTGGGCTGTATGCTAGCATCTATGATTTTCAGAAAGGAACCCTTTTTTCATGGTCATGATAATTATGATCAATTAGTCCGCATAGCCAAAGTCCTAGGTACTGAAGAGCTTTTTGAATATCTTGATAAATATCATATAGAGCTAGATCCTAGATTCAACGATATTTTAGGAAGGTAAGTTTGATTTCTTGATGTATATTATTTGTTTCAAACTTTTTTATTTTATTTTGTAGACATTCGAGGAAAAGATGGGAAAGATTTGTTCATAGTGAGAATCAGCATTTAGTATCACCCGAAGCTTTAGATTTTCTGGATAAACTATTACGTTATGATCATTTAGAACGCCTTACTGCACGTGATGCGATGGATCATTCATATTTCTGTAAGTTACTATTTCATATTCTCCCTAATATAAAATATTCCATGTATTTGATTTTTAATATACTTTTAAAGGGTTCATAATCCTTTCGGATTGTTCCTGCGCCAATTGCATCTTTAACCCTGTTTCAGATAACTAGTGTCAATGCGCACTAACCCAGGGGGATCGACGGCTATACGTGTACTCCGAAACACGCCCACTCGTATAATTTAACTCATGCGTTTCGGATTTGTTTGCCAGTATCTTAGTCGCTGAGGTGCAACCGCGTCTTACAGGGGTCTTTTTTATTGTGTATAATTCGCCCATGTAAATAAGCGAAAAAGTAATATAGTCCTCATAACATTTTCCCCTCAACAATATAAATTCGTGCGATTCACGAGTGTGTAGTGATACAAGTTTATTGAATAGTTTAAAACATCCGCAAACTTATCAATATTTTGCTGGTCTATATATATTTACGTTCTTAGAAAGAATGGTAATGAGTGAAATATGATATTTTAGTTTATTCGTTCCAAATTCTTATGTGCATAGGCGTAATGTGTTCTATTTCTTGCTTGGGAATATATTTATTAAATAGACTTTATTATTAACTTTAAAATAGTTTTGAGGTAAGTAAAGTAAATTTGCGGCAAGTTTATTCTTTATATAGTATTAACCCGTTAACGGCCGGTCAATATACAAAGAGAAATTTGACAATTAATTTATTAGATTGGATTCAAAACACATAAATTAAGACTAATTTACAACCAAAAATATTTTTTTCTCATTTTCAAGGAAAACAGTACAATTTTTAATAAAGGAACATATTGCATCTTAAATATGTTCCTTTATTAAAAATTATACTTACTTTATGCTCAAAATTAAAAATAGTAGTACTTTTGCACATCCTACATTCTTGCACTACCGTCTCCTTTTGTAATGTGGCCAATATTGTCGAATCTGGTTTCATCTGGTAAAGCAAATTTAGATTGACGTATATGTACTAAGCTTGACACTTATGTAGCGATTCTTCACTATTATAAATATATCTCGGCTCATGCTTTCTCTTATAATGTGCACAACTCTCTCTTTCTCTTATAATGTTGATGTATATCAACTTGAAGCAGAGTGTGAACCAGATAATATACAAATCTATGTTATTCATTTCAAAATCGTGACGGTTATTCTGAGATGCATAAATATTTGTAAAATATAGAATGCTCTCAATTACGTTTTTATCAGAAAATAGTGAAAAAACTTCAATATATGACTTGCCTCCATGGTTAGCTTTTATATTGTCTAAATATCAATCAGACTGATGTTGAATTACTACTGAGCACAAAGCAGCACGAAGAAATATCTGTTGTTACAACTTAAGACAAATTTGGATTTACTATTTTTGACTGGTTTTTTCTTTGGAAGTTTTATCTGTGGTTCAGAGGAATATCCTAATCAGAATGGTCAGAATTCTCAATCACTTGTATTTCATAAGTACCTGCAATATCCGATTTTATTGATTCTTCACAATTAATATTATCATCAATGTCTTTTACATAAGAAACTTTCAAATCTAATCTCGGCGGCAAATAAACCACTTAGGTGAGTCGCCATTTTCACAATCTGAGTCTTCTTCTAACAAAGCTATCTTTAGTACTAAACTCTTTAGTAGTTAGTGCCATCTTTATTTCATATTTCGAGAATTTACTGAAATAAACAAATGCACTACTATATACACGCATTCACATGATAATTGTTTAGCTTAATTCATTTTAATTTATATGAACAATATATTTTTATATTTATATAAACAAATAAACACAAGGAAACTTTCAAATTAGTTAAGCAAACAAATACAGCAATTCTATAAATATAGAATGATGTGTAATGACGAGATCGTATGTTAAAATTTCATATTGTTTAGTCCAATGAAAAAATAAGTATTTTCCAAAGTTTTCTGTTTTTTGAAGTTCTGTATTAGGTACTCTCTAATAAGAGTAAAATTTCACTTTAATTTGTTAGACAACTATAAGATATCTGTCAAGAGACATGATAATTTAATAATTATATCGCTCTTAAATTTATTTTTATGTAATTACTTATGTATTTAAATAAATAGTTAAATCAATTCAATTCAAGTTAAAACAAAACAAATATAACGTTCGTAGCAGACAGCAATTCTATAAATAGAGATGAAGTGCAACGACGAGATCGTATGTTAAAATTTCAGATTGCTTAGTCTAATGAAAAAATAAGTATTTTGCAAAGATTTATGTTTTTTGAAGTACTGTATTAGGTACTCTACAAAAACAATAAAATTTTACTTTATTTTAAACAACTATTCGCTCCGTGCATGACTGACCTATTGCCTTCATCTGAGAGTTTTGGACCTCCAAATTTGAGGTTAAACATATGATAAATATATACTAAATTGACAATTATTAATAATTAGTTTTTTGATTACATTTTTTCAGTTTATCTACAAAATAAATGTAGTATTTAAAACTGGGTTTATAAATATTCATCATAATTTATCTTTGCAACCCCAAACGGAAAAGAAAGGGGAAAATCTAGTACTGGCAAATCAAGATTTTCATGTGAAAGAGCATGTAGTTAAAAACAATAGTAGTAAAAGTTATGATATAAAAGCTAAAGTCATCAGGCGGGCTGTAGTTAGCTTGAAATCTTATGAAATATCATTTAAGGTAAATTATTTTAATTGCATCAAAATGAAATTATGTGATATTTACTTTTTCATATAATAGCACGAATCCATCTTTTTCTTTTCTCGAATTTATATGTAATCTTTGGAGACCTATAAAAACTACACCCCCTATTTTTGCTATTATTTGCACAATTAAATACGCAACATGTATTTGCACCCATTTTTGATAAATTTTTGAGTAAAAGATAGGCCCAATTTTGTCATATTTCGCCGCTACGCAACGCTGGCGTCGTTTCAAGGTACCCCTACCATGGTTACGCACGGAGCGAATAAGGTACCTGTTAAAAGACACAAGATAATTTAATAACTATATCGGTCTTAGATTTAATTAATTACTTATGTGTTTAAATAAATAATTAAAATTTGTTTGGTATGCCTCTGCAAAATTGATAAGTGGAATATGATTTCGATTTAAGGGCTTCGTTAAGTGTAATGTTGCCAAGTAATCACTTTCAATTAAAAATTGTTTTAGTATAAACTAAAAATTGTATTTGTTTTCAGATCCCGTGGTTAAAGAGCAGTGCAGGATGCTGTCTACAGTGTCATCGTCTCCTACTCCATTAACAGGAGTAGGTGAGTAGCGTGCATAACAGTGAAGAACCTTATCATTTCATGTGCTGTCAAATTTGCCATACACCATCCAATATTTTTTTTCCAAGATGATGTAATTTTCTCTCTGCAGCAATGATATCCTACATATATTTCCATTATGTATAAATATTTTTTGTATGGTTGAAAATAATTTCAAATAACTGGCGTTCTTCACTTTATGTTTAACTTATTTCACTAAATTTGATGCAAAGGTAAACATATGTTTAAGGTTAGATATAGTTGTTACCATTTACTAACGAAAGTTATTTGAAATTCTTTTTCTCTGGGTATTGTTACAACGTTTTATCTTATTTAATTAATTTTCTTTTATAACTCTGATAGAAATTATTAGCAGCTAAAATTACAGTTTGCGCATACTTGAGGAGTCATTTATGGAGACATATGAGAAACATACAGACAGTAACCTGCCTTCAGTGTAATTTTTGACTAAAAAAATCAAACATTCCTTTTTAAATTTTTATCCTACTTGCTCTAGTTCGAAATGTAACTAATCCAAATAGATATTGTTCTGAAGCTATTTTCTTGTGTCATCTAAGAGCGTAGGCGCAAAATTTCGGGCCAATGCTTTTTAAATGCATTCATTTTTTTCGAATCCTGATAAAACTAAGTATTTTTGAAAAATTTAAACGCAGAATGAAAGATTACATTATTACTGAGGGTCAAAAGTCCCTGAAAACTTCTATAACATTTATTTTAATAAGTTACAGGAGTGAAAAAGAAGAGAAAATTTAGTGTAATTTTTAATTTCAAATCTCATTCAAAAAAACTTTTTGTTTATTCTAAGGGACTTTCGGCCCTCGGTAGTAATGTAATCTTTCATTCTGCGTTTAAATTTTTCAAAAATATTTATTAGTTTCTTCAGGGTTTCGAAAAAAATGAATGCATTAAAAATTTTGCGCCTGCGCTCTCAATACAATTTACTATTTTTACTAGGAAGACAGATACAGGCAATGATGGCAGTAAATTGAATATTATTCGTTTGTATATATTATCTATTTAAATTTATAGCTATATTGAACTGTTGTGCAAAAATGCAAATCTTTATTATTAGTTAAAAAGATCACTGAATGAGGGCTAAAAAAAATGAAATTAAGTTTAAGGATATAAGTTAGCTGATATGTTTATTATTTCTAGGGATGTAACTATTATAATATATTTATTAATTGAATTGAATTGAATTTTTTAGATGTTTCAAAAAAAGGTAACCCCTTCTCTAGGGTAGGTAAAAAACTGAAAAATAATTGGAGTTTGCTTAGTAAAAATTTTGTAACGCCATCCGTTTTCAAGATACAGGTCGTTGAAGAAAAAAAATTTTACGCATTTTTTACGATTTTGCCGAAACTACTGGCAACATTGTAATGAAATTTTATACGAATATGTTTTTGGAAGCTGATACATCCCATGAATTTGTTTTTGTATCTGATTCTCATAGAGGGCGCTAGTTACACGGATCGTGCTAAGTATTAGTCAATATAACTTTTGATATACTATATATTTTTTATAATACTTGAAATTTTGATTAATAATTATACTAAAAAAGTTATATTGACTAATATTTAGGACGATCCGTGTAACCAGCGCCCTCTATGAGAATCAGATATAAAAACAAATTCGTGGGATGTATCAGCTTCCAAAAACATTTTCGTATAAAATTTCATTACAATGTTGCCAGTAGTTTCGGCAAAATCGTAAAAAATGCGTAAAATTTTTTTTCTTCAACGCCCTGTATCTTGAAAACGGATGGCGTTACAAAAATTTTTTATTAAGCAAACCCCAATTATTTTTCAGTTTTTTACCTACCCTAGAGACGGGCTTACCTTTTTTTGAAACACCCTGTATAGTGTGGTGTCACTCACTGTAAGTTTTCTAAAATGAATACAAACCAACTGTTTTCAGTTTCATATAAACTGGCAGTCACCTAATCAAACGGTCTCAACTTGTAATAAATCTTATTTGTCGGAACTTTATTGCACAGCCACCTGAAATGATTTAGTCCACACATTATAGTGCACACAGATATTGATTTAAAAATTAAAACTTGCATCGTCAAAAACCTGGTGCTTCTAGAATAACATACTAAGTTACTGTACATGAAAATTATTCCCTATTTCATATAAAAACGTTGTGAGTTGTCCGGTCAAAGTTGATCTCAACTTGCAATTGTCTTTATAATCGCTTTATACGAGATTTACTAAAATATTTTTTATTTGCATATTAAAGATTTTGATAAATTTTTTTAAAGATGTAAAGATTAAAGATTTTGATAAATTTTTTCTGTACTCGAACTTTCAGTAATTTATTCAGTTGTGATTGGATTTAAGAACTCTTGGTTTTGACGTTGCTAGTATGTGATAGTAATAGGGCACGATAGATATAAGTAGTTAAATTTATTTTACAAGCTAGGAAATTATATAAATTTAAATTGTTTATATAGCACTAAATTTTATTTTATATATAGCTTTTGCTCTCAGTTTTATAGAATTGCTGAACATACCCGCCTTACTCTGTAAATTATGTCGCATCACCATTGAAGTCTGTATTTCTGCAATTTGGTAGACCCCAACTTATGATCTCAAATCAAGTCAAACCTCCAAAATATTTTATATTACCCTCTTCTTTTAGGTCTGTAGCGATTGCAAATTAAAATTAATTAACACAAATGGCCAGGCAAATTAAAAACTTAGATTTGCAAATGGAATGTGTATATATACGATTCTTAAAATTATTGATATTAGTTAATTCATCATTGTACTGTTATTTCTGATTATCTATGGTTAAATATCAAAACATCAAGTCACAATTTACAACTTTTTCAGGAGTAACTTCGATGCTTACTGTACATATTTTTTCTTTCTCCGTGAGTATAGTTTTCGTATCCACCTCACAAAAGTCAGTCTGGAAGATAAATTATTTTCTCAAATCGTTGACGAATTATCTACCTGCTTATATCCGGATTTTTCACTTTATTCAGACTACTTACCAGATCAACTAAAGTTAGATGCCTTTTTTCCAAACAAGAAAGACCAAAAAGTTCTCGTGTATCTACGGTCTGATCCTGGCTTCCTAGTGTAGGAAAGATTCAATTTATTATTATTATACCTATATATAGGGGTGTCCCGGAAAATAGTGCGTTCCTTAACGATATGGGCTGATTGAAGCATTAAAACAAAAAAGTCATAACATTTTTTTATAAAGTCAACCGTTTTCAAAAAAAAAAAATAATTTTTAATAATTTTAATCCATTTGATTATTGTTCACAGAAAAGCAAATACAGCCGGCAACGTTGCGTTCCTTATCCTTCGTTAATTACTGTAGATCAGATATCATGAATCATTGATCGTTAGGCATATGTATTGATACTGATAACAGTGATAGAGAAAAAGCATATTTGTTTTTATTAAATATTTAATAGTTAAGGTTCGATTACTGTTTTTACTTACATAAAAAATAATTATTATAATAAATGTTCGAAGTGGTCACCATTTGCACAGATATACGCATTTATTCGATGAAGCCAATTATTTTTAATACAAGTATGTAAATTATGTCGAATTATTCCAGCAGCATCAAAAATTCGTTGTCGCAATTGAGCTTCTGTTTTAATTTCATACTGGTTGTCGTATACTGATGATTTTAGATGTCCCCAAAAATAAAAGTCCATAACATTGCATTCTGGCGTTCTGGGTGACCACAGAACGTGTACATATCTAGCGATCCAACGACGAGGATAAGTGATGTCGAGGGAATTTTTTAATATGTGTTGGAGCCCCGTCATAAAGAAACCACATTTCACAGCGTATTTGTAGCGGAACGTCTTCAAGAATTATCGCTAGAACATGCTGCAAAAAATTTAAATAGGTTTCTCAATTCAATCTTCTAGGAAGTTCGTACTAGAGGTGTGCTTATTAGTTCTTTTAGACGAACTAGTTCAAGAGAACTATTTCACAAAAATGAACCAGTTCAGTGAACTAGTTCGCGAAAGAACTATTTGTAGGACAGAAATCGAAATTCAACCCTAACATAACTGGTTGCCAGATTTGATGTCTAGATTCAATCATCACACAAGCTCGGCGCCGGCCGCCCGTTTTCTTCGGTTTTCAGTCAGTCTTTCACTAGTTCACTACCGTATAAGTAGTTCGGAACTATTTCTTTCGATCGTATGTTTAGGTTTAAATGGTTTAAATTAGTATGATTAGTTAGTTTTTATTTGCAAAAAATTATTAAGATTTGTTTTTTATTAACCGTTTTAAATATAAATATGGTTCACGTATGATTTATTTTTATATTTACGTATATTTAAACTCCCAAGTATTTATAATTAGGTTATTTCTAAAAAGACCTTTACAAAAAAAAACAGTGAATTTTCTAGGAACATTGAATAACACATTTTCATTCTCACTTTTATATAAAATTATATTTTATGTAAATGCCTCGATCATTTTAACCACAACTAAAATTTTTATTTCAAAATTACAATACAATAAACAACACAACATGGCAACATCCAAGCCAATACATGGGCATAAGATCCGAACCATTATGACATTAAGATAAGACTTTATGTTATTGTCACATTCATAAGTATTATGAATCTGTTACTGAGGCTAATCGGCATCTTTTTTAAACTAGTTAGTCCATCCATTCACAAAATAATAAATATATGTTCTAATTCATTCATTATTTTCTTCTTTAGAAGTTGAGACACAATTTTATAATGGAAATCGTTCGCAGTGAACTAGTTCTATGAAAATTAATGAACTAGTTCAGTTGAAAGAATCGTTCATTTGAACTATTTCGATGGTGAACTACACATTCCTAGTTCGTACGGTCCACTCAAATGATTACTAATAATCACAGCCCATAAATTTATACTAAATTGTTTTTGAAAATTTGTCCTACGTATAACATATGGGTTTTCTTCATTTCATACGTGACAATTGTGAAAATTAAAACACCATTTCTCTTAAATCAAGCTTCATCTGTACATAACACTTTGCACGGAAATTCGGGGCGATTTTGTTGTGAAACCATCTACAAAATCTTAATCCTCGAGGTAAATCGCCTTGGTGTAAATCTTGCACTCGTTGGTAATAGTAAGGATGTAATATTTGTTTCGTAAATGTCTTGTGAACAATGTTTTTGAAATGCCAAAATTCTAGCACAGATCGGTACTTACTATTGGATTACTACTGACTATATCCAAAATCACATCTTCTGCATTTAGTCTACGGTTACTTCGTGTTCTACCGCTAGTTTTTTTTTAGGTACCACACTACCCATCTCTAATAACCTTTGGGACACGTTCATAAAATTTCGGGAATTAGGATGTCGTCGTTCGGGATAGTGTTCAGCACGAAGTCTAAAGGTCGATTCAGACACATCAGTCCCGTCACAGTCTCGGCGCCAAACCGGTCCTGTTTGGTCACAGAACTATCAACTATCTGACAGCTGGCAAACTGTTCGTCAACTGATGAATGTGAATGCCGGCGCCATATTTCTATTAAAGAATATTTTGTATGACGGATTGTTCGGTT